GCGAGAGAATTGTACTTGTCAGAAGGAGTTGAAGAGTGTTGAGACGTCACTAATGAAAAGACAGAGAAATTTTTAAAATTCTAAAAGCTACTCTACATTTTTTAAAATATTCAAAGAAATTTAACATTTGCAATTTAGAAATTCTAAATGAATATTCAGTTGTAATTTATTACAACTTTCTAAGCTCTTTCTGAACACCTAAGGAACACCGTTATTTTTAAAATCTTTGGAAAGTTTCTTTGGATATATTGTTCCTTGGGCATCAATCAAAAGTGAATGTCACAGAAAACATTATCGAACAAGAATTGAAATAACTGGCGAGGTTTTGTTTCATTTCACTGGATCGTGACTGGTATATTCAGCTTTTCACGATCGAACGAGAAGCGAGGTGGAAAGCGAAGATAGGGATGAAAATTGTTTAGGCAGAAAGGAGGTTCGTTCGAAGGTTAATTTCCGTCTTCGACGTTGGATCGTGTGATTGACTGAAAATGTTCGTTTACCGAATCAACGAACGACGAAAATAGCGAAAAGTAAATAAGATCGAGCATGGTGCAAATTAATATTATTTATATTAACTTTGATCGGTTCAACTTCCCTCATCAGCTCGGCAATAAACCATGAAAGTAGTTAAAAAGCAACCTACTTTTTCGAGTTGCCAACACAGAGATAAAAATTGCCTGGAAATAGCGCAGGATGTTTATTAAAAGCGCGGCCAATCATTCTACCACGTTCTCATTTCGAAGAGAACTTTGTTATTAACTGCCGCGAATACAAACATTTTAGTCTCGAGAAATTTTACGCAAAACAGATATTACTGGTAATTAAAAATTTTGTATGGAAGCTTAAGGTACATTTCTATAATCCTGTATATCCTCGAATTTTTACATTAGTAACGAACAATATTTGTGTCTGGTAAATTTTCTTTACTTCTTGTTGATTCACCTGAATCCTGCACAAGTAAAACAGACAGTGAGCTGACTAAACGTTACGAGATTTTCCTAAGTCAGTTTTCCCGAAAATTTTGTCTGAAGATTGTTTGAACAATATGGATTTACATACAAAACCAGCTCCACTGTTTTTACACTGAATTTACATTTATTTTTGCATTCGCTTGGATTTATTTTATGACATGTAGCATGAAATTTATAATATGTAGTTTGATATTTCAAAGCCAAGCATGAAAGAGCATATTTAGTAATGTTATGGATTTTTCCAGATTTTATTTTGTTATTATACTGAAAATAAAATTTAAGAAAAATTTTCTTATTTTTGAACCCTTTCACGATGAATGCTGGAGCATGTAAAATTTTGTAGACAATTATAATGACAATTACAATTTTGGGTCAAAATATCACTACATTTTAAGAGTTAAATTTTGGAATAATTTTATATCCAAATGTTTCATATCTCGATAAAAAAGGTACAAATAAATTAATCCAGAATTAAATCCAAGAATCTATCTATAAATGATTTAAATATCAGGAAAAAAAAATTGAAAGCTTGTTAAATAAAATTTAGAAAAATGAATTTATCTACTTTCGAAAAACACATAAATGCAAGGGAATGCAAAAAGTAATTTAGAACAAAATGAATGTACAGAATGTGAATTTCAAATAAATCCCAAGGAAACTTTACATTCGTTAATTACATGAAAACGAGAACTATGTGGGTCAAAAAAGAAAAAAAAAAGAAAAGAAAACGACAGTTCCTCTTTGAAAAACCGAGGAAAATTCTCGTCATACGGTACCAACCAGGCAATATTGCACGTCAACTCCTCACTTTGATCGCGGGACCACGAAAAGATTTTCCACTCGTGATATCGAGGATGATATAGCACTCTGAGGAATCTATCATTACACGGAATATGACTCGATTCATGTCGTAAGCTATGTAAGTAGAAAAAAAATGAACAAGACTATAAGACTACGAAAATGTAGAACGAAGATGGATGGATCGAACGCAACGCGTATTTGCTTGCACGGCAAAAATGAACGATATTGCGACAAATGGAAACAAATCAAACTCTACTTTTGCTTTTACCCGCAAATGCAGCAATTTTTATGGTGAAAAAATTCCGAACATAAATTCGATCCCTAGATAACGAATTCATAAATAATTTACTCGTTTGTAACTAAAAATTGTCTACGAATTGTAAAGTCACAAAGGGATTTAATAAAGGTACTTTATGTTTTCAAGTTATCGAGGACTCTTAGGAACATTTTTTTTGAAATTTATTAAGGACTCCTGTGAAAATAAGTATAGAGAACAACAAATTACAATTTTTTAATTTTGTACGATTATAAATTATTTCGTTTTTGCAGTGAAACATTATTTGGAACAAAATTAATAAAACTAAGTATCATCCAAACTTTGCAAATAATATTTAAATGAAGATGTGAAAATTTTCCAGTCATTAAATATAATATTAATTACATGAAACTTCAATTATATTATTTATCTGCTCTTAATAAATGGATTGTAGATATTTTTACAGAGATAAAATAATCTTAATCACCTTTTTATTATGTTTCCACCAGTCATTAGCAGTCATTAGGGTCAGATATTTCACAAAAAAGATGATGAAGAATATTAAAGAGCAGAAATGGGTTAGGCTGGAAACAGAAAACTATATTTCATGAATTTTCCTTTATAATAATAAGCTTTTTAAATCCCTCTGTATCGTTTCATTAACCTTGTACAAAGATATTCCTTTTATCTCTGATAAGAGAATAAAGATTAATTTCTAAGTATTAATTAAACTTAGTACAATGTAATCTACCGATTGAGTAATGTATTTAATACTTTTTAATTTATTATATGTAATTGCATTCCTCTTTAAAAAAAGACAGGATCGGTCAACTTTTCATAGCGAATTAATTATCCATGGAAAAAGGAATTAAAAGTTCTCTTTACATTCATAATGAAATAATTAATATTAATGAGCTCTTATTAAATTTCCTTCTGTAGCCTCTGAGGATTCCGTATAATCTGCTACAACCAATAAACTAAAACGTGATTGCTTTCATTTATCGATCATATCCCTGCTTCCATTTATAACAATTAAAAAAAGAAGAGTTTAGCATGTGCTAGGCTAAAAAAGATCGCTTTACTAAACTGGATCTCATAATTCAAATAAAAAATTCAGTGCTAATACTAGGACAACCAAGCTCATTAAAATAAATTTAATAAATGATTTAATAAAATAAATTTCAAATTTTTCAATTTAAAGTATAGAAATTTTTATTAACCCATTGCTGTTAACTTGAGTAAAGCTATCTAAATAATGTATTACAGAACTTAAAGTAAACTCAAAGTTTTAGACAAAAATAAAAATTTTGACTTTCAAAAGCTTCGCTATAAAATTACGTTGATCTTCATTATATTTGAAAACCTAAAATTCTTTTGTTAAATTCTAATTTATTTTATTTTCCATCATTATTTTATTTGTTTTTCCAATTTATTTTCAATTTAAAAATAAATTTCATATTTACCGTTGGTTATCCCAGTATTAAAATGTGGTACTGATGCAGAATTAATCGGAAATCCCTGAATGATTGTCAATTAAAAATCAAACCGTATATTTGAATGGAATTACACACGTCTCGCTGTTCCCGATAAGAAGCTAATATTGATACACGATGTGTGACTAAAGCAGCAAAGAATCCCCGTTTGCTTACTTCCTTGTTTTACGTAATCGCACAGCTACGTTGCTTTATTTTGTACGCAACGTTCAGAGAACACCTGAATATACCTTCTTACTATGTGACACACTTTTTAGTGAATCACCTTTTATCAAAAATTAACGTCGCCCAACCGAACGCCCCGCCGTTTAATTTATGAATTCATCGTGCACGAGACGAGAATAATTTAACAGGTTAATTATAATTATTCAGAACACGATAGTTTCATATTTGACTTTCAATCTTCTACTTATTACCTTATGAAACTAATATAAGATTTGAATTTTCTTTATATAAACCCTTCTGACCCGATGTTACACAAAACCAATTGAATTATCATAACTTCCAAAATACTTAAAATTTTTAGTTCGAATTTGACTTCGATACTTGAATTTCTAATATTAAATTTTGACATAATTTTGTTATGTAAAACTAATATGGTATACGAAAATTTGCGTGTCCATGTCGGTTTGCAATGGTTAAATTTATGAATACAGTTGGTCACCGCTAACCCTTGTGGTATTTAACGCGTTAAACACGCGTGAAATGGTATAATGGATTCAGACCAGTTACTAAATTCCTGAGCTATTGTCTTGCAAATGTTAAATACACTGCTCAAGATAATTAAAAGATCTAGTGCTCCAACAACTTCGTTTAAATTTGTTTAAAAAAAAGGTTTATTGACTGCTGATATTTATCCACTTATAGTACATTAGAAAATGCAAAAAAATACGTAAATTATATGTATAAGAAACAGAGATAAATTATTTAGAATGTGCAAAGTATGCAAAATGTGTGAAAAAGAAAACAGAATATTTTATAAAAGAATATATTCTTTCGACGATGTCAATTGCATTGGAATATTTATCACGCATAATTAGACCCTTTAAATTGTAGACGCAAAAATACTATTCAGGCTTATCATAATTAAATTCAAAATATTATTACGAGCATGACTCAACACTGAAAGGTAAAAAGTTCATTTTATATTCTAGTTATATTTATTGGGTATTCGATGCTTTTTACTATTCTAATTAATACTTGATCCTATAATTATTTTGAACAGTGCATTATGTGAAAGTATCAGTAATTAATCCTGTTGTTTCATAACTAAATTTCCAGCATATTCTAATATTTTTAGAAAACGTCTACATTCTATTTGTATAAATAAAACTGTTATAATTAACAATTTCTATTCAAGAAAAACAAAATTAATTGAATAATTGAAAATTGTAGCTGTATGAATAGTCTGCCAGGAAAGGGTTAAATAACCATAAGAAACTTGTTGGCACGAATAAAGATAAGCAAAGTATCACTTACCTTATCGAGATACTGAAATCCATGCTCCTGCGCGACCTGCCGGGCCACTTCCGGTCCTCCTTCAATGTGCGCTGCCCACTGATTGGTATAGGCTGCCACTCGTCCAGCCAGAGTCACCAGTGCGACGATGGCCAGTCCAAAAATCCTCTGCGGGCACATGATAGCTCTGCCTCTCAGCTGTTACCACCAGCGGCTCCAGTTTCACGCTCGACACTGTGTACTCACTAGCCACACCGCCTAAATGGAGGATGATAACAAGAACAACGACAACAAACAACGGCACCGGCACACCCACCACGATCAACACGACCCACAACTCTGAATATCGCACCGTACGACCTTTAAACGTAGAGTGATAAACGGACCGACGAGGTAGAGGATAAGGAAGTTGATAAAGAAATAAAGAAAGAAAAAGAAAAAAAAGAAAGAAGAGCGAGAGACACAGAGAGGCAAAGAGTGTCTCGCACCTGGTGACCGACCGTCGTCGACTGAACCACCAGGGACCCGTGTCACTAGTTAAGTAACCTCCACTCAGCCAACCGATTAGCTTCTTCTTTCGTGCACATCCACGTGCCGTGTCCTCGTCGTCCTCGTCGTCGTCGGTGTCGTCGCTGGTCGTCGTCGTCGTCGTCGTTGTGCTGGTCGTTCCCTCGGTGACGTTTCTGCCACTGTCGCCGCCGCCTTCGCTGAAACGACGAGCAGCGGTAGGTGGGGCGATCGTCAAGTCATGTGGCCGTGGTTGGTGGGGAAATCGTCGCGATCCTCGCGATACCGAACGTGTGCGATACACGTGGCTGGCCTATGGATCAAGGGCGACTCTCGCAGAAGCAGCAACGTTCCTGCTCCTTGGTCGTCGTTGCCTTCATCCGTCGAGATGATCCCTCACCTCTGACAGTGGCTGGAACGGTCAATCACCCCTCGACCTTCGAAACTGACCCACTCCGGCTCTTCCGTTCGACAACGACGACCTTCGACAAACAACTGTACACTTCGAACAGTCGTTTCTCCTCTATCCGAGTATCTTCGGATTACCGGTGATCAACGTGAAACGATGATCGAGTCAGAGCGGGTACAAAGTCCGTGATAGCGATTGATACTAGTATCTTCAATCGTAGACGAACAACATTTGGATAAGAAGCGGAGGGAACGCGGTTACTCGATGGTCTTCCGAAAGACAGTCCTCCTACGAACAGAGCGAAATGTCTGGCTAGCCATTCAGCCAGCGGCACAAGTTATCGACCGAAAACTCGGTCGATTCACGTCATCGACCAGTGCATCCTCCTCGTTCGCTGCATACTTAGGAAAATTCGTCGATGACGCGGCCTCCTCGAGCTTCCCTCTTTTCCTCGTTTTCTAGCTCATCCTCCGCCAGCCAACCGCGATCTGAAAACCGTTCCGAGAATTCAGAATCAGATATTTTTGGGCAACTATGAGGATGAAGGGGGGTTGATTAATCGATGCAGTTTCTCGGATCTGGATGGAGAGGCGATGGGTGCTCTGAACTTATGCGAGCGATGAGTTCGAAGCATTTAGGCGGGAAAAATGAAGCGATCTTTGGGAATTTATTTTGGGAAAACTATTAGACTTACGTATCTCTAACTTTGCATATATATTTAAACATATTTAAAATAATATTTTGAATTTTTTGAAATAAATTCATTGAAAATTTACAAAGTTATAACAAATTATATGAAACTCTTTTCCTAGCCATCTTAGTTGACTGTCATAAAAAAGTTTTAAAGTAACTTTAATTCTTCCTAATGAGAAAATAATTGCTGAATAAATTAGCGGAGATATTTCCAACGTATAATTCAAAATAAAATTTTGTAGATATCGTCCATTAAATTGCAACTGAAATTTCTTTCTACCGTTCCTACGAACACGTACAAAGTACCGGCAAGCTGTAGCATAATTAAAAACAATTTCAACATGAATATTCCGTTTGCTCGCCGAATACAATTGCCGAGACCGGGAATAAACCGAACCATTTGCCTTAGCGTTCCCTTTGCAGAAATTACGCATATCCATAAAGTGCAACGAGTCACGATCGAGGTTTAATTACACCCCACCGAGTAAACGAGAAACAACTCAGACATCAACATGAAATCCTTGTTTGCATATCAACGAAGATGTAACTAATGTTCAGGGAAAAGCGTACGTCTGTCTGATTGAATTTTGATAGCTACACCATCGTGAGTAATATCAACAGCGGTTGGGTTTTTCCTCTAGTTCCTACCATCATGATGAAAATGCGGGAAAATCTGCTTATTTTACTTTTTAATTAAATCTATGATTCTTGCAATTTTATAAAAGATCCTTGAACAGTGATGTCTGTTCTGAATGTTTTTATTTAAAAATTTAAGTGCCTAATTTTAATCAAAGATCTAAATTAATGATTGACCCAGCTCCATTATTTCAGATTTAATTAAACCTAGTTGCAATGATAAATAATTTTCACGATCAAATGAAAATTTTGAACGAAATAGACAATTTAATACAGCTTGAAACGGTTACAATATGAATGTTTAACGAGCAATATACGTTCGTTTAATGGAAAACATGTTTGCTAGAATCTCGAGGAACAATGTTACTGTAAATTTTTAATAACCCACTCGTTGAACACAATTTCTCGTTAATTTTTGAAGTTGCACACTGTGGTTTACCATCAGCTGCATACGTTCACGCAACTTGCATCATCTTCACGGTCGAAGAGTGCTCGAACGAGTCGGATTTTCGAATGAAAGAAACAGGATCGATACGGGTTGCAATGGTTACACTGCATACCAGGGAAAATTGCATTCAGCATGTAACTCGACCTGATTTTCATCGAACGAGAGATTTGCTAACGAAAACGTTAATTTTTTTTTTTTCATTTTTCTAATAACAAGCCATCATCTACACCGGCTATCGGACGGAAAATTAGGACGAAATCGATTCGTTTCCTTGTATCGCTTATTTAAATTGATGACTCATTTGGGCATTGTTCGTTTTGAACAAACATCCATGACTCAGACAATGTTAGATTGCGGTGAAAGATAAGAATGTTGTTTCGCAATTTATCCAAAGTATTTGCACTGTGTTTTAAAATTTATTTTGTTCAAATTTACTTATGTCAGGAAATCATAAATTAATTGTTTTTAATTCAACATTTCTAAAATTGCTGTCGGTCTATATAGAATTTTATACACAAATAATAAACTTGTGAAGTCTCAAAAATTTGTTAAATTCTAATTAATTTAACAAATATCGTGAATAACAATTTGGTGATCTTTCATTCTGCACCAAAATCGTATGACAAAATTTCAGACAATTGATTTTGCAGAAAAAACATAGAACTACACATTAGTTGGCTAGACAGTTACAATACTTTGAAATGGTGACTGTGTTCCCTGAGGAAATTGCAGTGCTCTTGTAACATTGATACCAAGTGCTCTTTTTGGAAAAGAATACACACCTTTCATGCGGTGGAACATAAATTTAAATAGAATTTAAAATAATTTTAATAATTTCCACGTAATCCAATTCGAGAAGTTCCTGGATTATTTTAAAAATTATGAACGAACTATCGTGAAAGGATTCTAAATTATTCTCTCGTTGAATAAAAATTGTATAACATTTAAATTACGAAGCACGTTCGCTATATCCTTCATCATAACGAGATTCAAGGAGAAACCTTGTTCGCTACCGTTCTACGATTTTAAAGAATGGAATGGAAACGACTATCGTTCCGTATTATCGATATATTTTAAAGGTCGCTGGGTTCCGTGAAAAAAGGAGTCGATTTTCAAGCTGCGGTTCTCGCGGTTACAATTCGATAGGACATTTACATCCGCGATCAAGTGAAATTGCGTTCGCGATATTCCTTTCCTCGAGCCAGTCAATTTTAAAAGTCTATTTGAAACGTGGAAATACAGGAGAGCACAGATTGCAACCGGTGCAAACATCTTTACGGTACAACTTTACCCTGTGCCAGTGGAGTTTTGTGATAAATTGCGAAAAACAAGCAATAATCGTGAATTTTATTCCGAAGAAAGCGTCGTACCCCGAAGAAACCACTATAAATTGTATTTCTTTCGACATAAACCTACGATCAATTTTTCTTTTTATAATAGAACAATACTGGAATAAGATACAAAGAATTTTATACAGGTACTTTAGTCAAATTCGAAAAAAGAAAGAAGATATAACGAACATTGCAAATCCTCGAATGGCGGACCATGGAGAGAGTCCCAATTTCAATTTAATTTATAAAATAGATATTGATTTTAAGAACTCAGCGGCTCGTATGATTCCATTGTTATCTATAAATATTTTTCTACGTGTCTGTCCTGAATTCTACGGGTGGTTATTGTCCACGACGAAGAAACATATAGAAAAACTGAAGATTCGCATTATCGTCACGTTCAAGAGACGTTCCAAACGATTCAACTTCCGCGGAAAGGATATTGGTGGCCCTGCAGATACACAACTTCGTGAAAGCTCTATTTTATGTCCGAAACAAGCTACGTTTTCTCTCTAACCAGCTTTTCCTACTTCGTCCACCAAGCGAAATCCTGACTCAATTACACAGTTACTGTACAGCTTTCATCTAACATGTCTATTCAATTGAGATCAGTAAATAACAGAGAAAAATGAAAATTCTTGTCTAAAATATTTTTCAAACAACTAAATACTATTTTAACATTTCCATAGGAGCTAGTAGGATCATAGAAGTCTATTAATTTAAAATACTCAGAATCATAATTAATAAAAAAAATAACGAACCATTATAAAAATAATACATAATATTTATTAAAGATAAAAATAATCTCCTACTACATTTCCAACGCCCCCAGCACGGTAACCAACGCATTAAGCAACCTCTCTTCTTCGAAATCCCCAATCCTTAACAATGGCGACCCACGTACAATGAATTGCGAGAATCACCATACGTAATAAGAAGCAGGCGGCACAGCAACCGGACATTGTCCAACGATTCAAGGTATATAAGCCAAGGAAAGAAAGATTTCCGTGATAAAAAAAAAAAAAAGACAGATTCAGTAACGCATTGGGTAGCCACCGAATGGTGGACCCATTGCAGTCCATTGGAACATGTACCTCGTGTGCCTCGAGGAAATTGCATTCTGCGGTCTTCCTCCTCTGCTTCCGTAGTCGGTGGACCAGTGATAAAGAGAGAATAAGAGGAGTCAGAGGAGGAGCAAGTGGATCGAGGGTGGAGGGAGAGCATTAGATAGAAGTGAATCAAATTTAAGCCGACTACCATCCCTCTCTTCATCATCGCGACCGCTTTCTATATATTGATGTACGTCTTTATTCTCTGTGTCGCAAACGTATGGTCGGTGACCCTTTTTCTTTTTTTTTTCTAATTTCGAAACAAAGAACGCGAAAACCTTTCTGTTCGTGGAAGAAGAAGCCATTGCAAAGGCCATCGGGCTGGCAACGGATACGAAGAGAGGAGGGGCTGGGATGCATGCACACAGGGCCAAATGAAAACGAACGAGGCCGAACCTCTTGGCCAGGTAATAACAGACGACCTTTGCCCTCACGATCTCTGCCTACCTGGCCGCTACGTGACCGACTTCTTTCTCTTTCGCCCCGCGATAGAAAGAGGACGAATTTTTACGCACGAACTGCGAACATCATCGGATATTCCGGCGGCGGGAAAGATGCCAGAATGCAACTGCAGCTGCAGCTTGCGAAAATTGTCCACCGATAGGACCGTGGCCTAGACCAGGAATAGAGAGAGTGGGAGAGAGAAGGAAAATGGAGAGAAAGGTATAGCGGGTTCGATTGGACACGGTCACTGGATGAATTTTCTTTCCACCGATCGGTTTTTGTGTCGCGTTTGCTTTGAACCCACCAGAGAGATGCTAGTTTTGATTCGAAAATTCTATTCCAGCGCGTTACAGTGGAAATATTTTACATTGAAAATTTCGAAAATTCTGGTACAATTTTTTTTACCACGTGAATTCGGTTCCATACACTTCAATTGCAGTTATTTTATTTTTGAAATTGAGATTTTTATACGGACCGAGGACTGTGGATATTTTGTTGTTGAATGAAATAAATAAAAATAATATTGATGTTAATCGTAGAAAGATAGATTAATATTAATATTATACCTTAGAAATCAAGATCACTTTAGCATTCATTTTGAAAATATTGGTAAGTGATAAATAATTTTTTGGAAATTTTCTAAAAGAGATAAATAAAATATTTTTTTATATTTTCTAACTGATCCACCTCTTTAGTTTTTCTAAAGGTAATGATAATATTAATGATATTAGACATATATTGAAATAGCCTGATCTAAATAGAACAATTGTGGCTTGAACGAATTGGATTTCTATTATGTATTTATCTAACGATCAGTTTCAATATTGCATTTATTTCCAACGGAGAAACGAGGACGATAGTTTGGGCTGGACTTGAAATATTCATTGCCAAGATCGATCCTGGCGGATTTAATAATTCGCATCTTAAAACATCGGCATCGACCTTAACCTCGATTCAAACGTTCCTATTGATGGGTCATATTAACCGATTTCTTAAACTTTTTATTATGTAAAATAAGTGATATAGTAATTTACAAAAATGGAAACTTAATGAAATAAAAAAAAGCATTTTGTTAAAAATACTAAACAAATCATGAATGACCCTTGATACTTATTTAAAAAATACGCAATTTTTTTACTTTAAACTATTGAGTCTCTGATATATTTATAAAATTATCGCTTTGCTAATTACTTAAAATTTCAAATGGGGCTTATAACAAAAAATTAGTTAATTTCATGAAAAACAATTGCCTAAAGTACACCCAATACTTAGAAATTTTCCCAATAACATCAAGTTACGCAATGATAGTTACCTCGGACAAAAGGAATGCCGACGAACCGAGCCATGCAAGGGCCTTTCCCGTAACAGGAAATACTCGGGGTCATGGACTGCCATGAAGTTCATACAAGCACTGTTCGTGCAACGAGAACACGAGACGCACAGAAAACCGGCTCGTTCGATTTACTCGTTAAGATAACATAGCGGATATTCTAGCGCACATACCTCCGCGAGATATTATTAAGTCACATTGCACAAAATCCTCAAGAAACGGTCGTTTAACCTAACGAGAATCAAGCGATCCACGAACGGCACTAAAATCCCGCCTTTTACCGCGCAGAGCGCCACATGGTTTCGATAATCGAAAGCGTAATATCGAACCACGTGATCGAGAACCAGTCGCTCATACGTAACGCTTGGATATCATTTAAAAATCAAACATGGCGCTCGAGCGGTCGCGTTTACGATAAAGAATGCCATTTAAACGAGCCATTTAACCGTGCTTATCTATATGAGCATAGTTTAGAACGTTGTTGAAACACGATGACCATCCGGCCCAGCGTGAACATAAAAACGTAAACATGTACAATGTCACGTGAACCGTGGTCGTGAATCTCAATGCACGAGGAAATCAACGTACGAATAGAGTTGAAAATCGTGGAACAGAACAGGAATACAGATAGTTTCGATAAGAGGTACGACTGCACGTGGGTAGATGCACACGGTATATGCGAACCTGTCAAGACACGCGTTCGTGTATCCTGGAAAGATAAACGCGACGAGGCAAGGTAACACAAGGGAACAGAGTGAATATCGGGCGAGTGAAGCTCGTAGCCGTCTCAAGGTAACGGTTCCCGGACACGCGTCTCCATTCCAAAACGAGAAACTACACGGAGCTGGCTGGCTTGACAGCTCGCTAGGATCGGTCACAATACATGCTCGTATTTATTAATAGATTTCACTCACGTTTTCTGCCGTTACTGACGCTCTGGCTTTCCCTCGGTCGAACTGATCCCGCCTGCGTGCAATAATCCCGTCGAAGAGTCGTCGATACACGATGCTCGTGTACAGAGAGACACTCCAATCGGAGCGAGGAATGCGGAAGATGGAGAAACGGGGATAGAACACCGCACAGTTGCACAGCCTGCGGGAAACACGCCTTTTTGTAACTCCGAAATGGAACCAACACACGATTATTCGACGGAATTCAGAATTCACGATCGCGTGAACGGTTGAACGTGTTAGTTAGAACCGCGTGTAGTCTTTGTACAGTGTCACCGTAGTCGCGCGAATGTCGGATCGTGCGACGTCATTCCTCGTTGCGATCTCATCCCCACGACGAAGCACGGCTGACTGACGGCTCGTTCTGCCGCTCCGTTCCGAACGCTCCCCCACCACTGCGCCGTTCTCCCCACTCCGCCGCGCTTTGTCCCCACCACGCGACTCAATCTCCCGCCGCGCAGCGAGGCAGAGATCTCAAGAAATAAAGAAAAGTTTTTAAATACTTTTTACTATATTTTTTATGTAATAAAAATATAAACTATTAATATTATGCGTGACTATAATGTTAATCTTCCCATTCCTGCTTTTTACTTTTATCTACTTAATAAATTACTGATTGTAATTTAAAAATTAAGAATTTTATAGTAAATTTTACATAAAATTTTTAAATATGATTCCATTAGTTCCCTTTTTTTCAGGGAAAATGCACAAATACGCCTTGTAAAGGTATAATTGATCACTTAACACCTTCCTTAAAATACTAAGGGCGGATGTGTACGCTCATAAAAATTTCCATTATAAGAGTATTTATCCACTCAGAATAATTTATCAATTACTGTTTTAATTTATTATTACTCATTTATTGTTACCCTTCTAAATGAAAAATGAATCTTTACTCCAAATTTTTATCTCATGCAAAAATAAAAAATTATCCTTGGTTATATGGAACGTTCAGCTACATCTCGGTCAGTGCTCAAAGGGTTGACAAGATTTGACATTTCGATTGAAAAAAAAAGGGCAGGTGGAATATTTTTCCCTATTTCTTGAGATTCTGCCCCACTGTGCGCCGTCGCAATTTTCAGCCCCGCACGTCCCACGCCACCCGCAGCGACGTTCAGTCTCTCAGCAACCGCTTCGCTGTGCAGTTCTCTTTCTATCTTTCGTATTATGCATCTATCCCGGGGAACAGAGAAAGAGAGACACGAACACGGCGCGAAAGGTTGAGGAGACTACCAGTGTCGTAATATTACGGGTGTACCCGTTAGATGATCGTGACACTTCCATGCCGATTACGAATGCAGCATCCGAAGTTTTCTCAGAGGATGCACGCGTCAGATCCTCTTTTTTTTCCCTGATGTAATCCCACAGTGCGATGCAAGAACGTTGCAAGAATAATTTATTTTTTGCACTGATTGATACATACCATCCTCATTAACACCTTGATTGCTATTTAAAAAAGTTTCGAAAATTTTGATGACTCAAAATTTATCATTCTTGGTTGAAATTTCTGGGGGATGGAATAATATTTCTATTCTCTTTTTTTTTTAAGTCTCTGTTGGCTGGGACGTGGGGCCCAACAAGGTCCTCGATCGTCCCTGGGGGTTTCACCAGAAACTCGTCCTTCTCCATTCCTGTGCAACCCTCTTCTTTCCGCTCGTTCGTCTTCTAGCCGCATTCACGTACCCATTACGTCTCCTCCAACGTGCGCCAGTGTCTTCAGCTCCGTCAACCTGGTTTCTCTCCTTCGCCTCTTTCTTCTTGTCCCTTCTCATTCTTCCTCCCTCTGGTCGGGTCTGGCCATACCGATTGAACGAGGACGCCAGAAGAATATTGAACAGCGTCCGTGCATTCCGATGCGGCAGATACGGCCGTTCACGTTCGATTCTTTTCAATCTTATCTCGTCCACCTGTCCGACTGGGTGTCAATGAAACCCAGGATGACTGGACGCGGCGAGACGGTCGCTGTATCGGGAAGCACCGTTGTTTGCCGGCGGCTACCTTGTTGTCACGGCACTGGATACGCATGCCAAATGAGCGTATTGATAATGAGCTGAGATATCGATGGTGGAACTTGAATTTCCGGATTCCAATTACGTTACATCAGGTTTTTGCACTTTCAGTGGCAATTAAAAGTCGGGCACATGTTTCGATGGCACGAAATTATCGCGGAATATGTACCACTTATTCTGTATTAATTTGAAGCTTCGAATCTGACGAGAATGGCTATAATTCTCGCGGGACAAGGAATCGATGAACAAGGATATTCGAGCGGAAAGGAGAAGAGGGTTAAACGGTACGCGAATAATGGAGAGGTCGTGGATTTCGGGTGTGCAAAAATCAGCGATGAAAAACGGACGAAATCTTTAGAGGGAGATTAAGATCCTGGTTCGAGATCGAGGACTTTTATTGAGAATTGATGATTGATTTGTTTTCAATCTGGTACGTGGAAATAGGGTTGTTCTTCAACCACAACCCTCGAGCTGGTGTGCTCTAAATATTCTTAGATTTCTTTTTATTTTAAAGGGTGAACATTTTAGATTATGTAATAAAATCTGTGTCGTCAAAATGATTGAGTTTTGAATATTTGATTAGTTAGATTATTGTATCAGAGGGCACTGATTAGTTTATTATGAATTATAGAGAAATTGATATAATAACTCGTCAATTATCTCAATCAGCCCGCAGTAATCGAGTGAATGATATTAATAAATCAATCGATTAATGGTGTAGATTGTAAAATTATTCGAGTAATATTAGAGATTGGTTCACCAATCGGCTACCGATTTGGTAAATAATTCAGTCCGTTCGGTGGTTGAAAATGCATTAAATTCGTCGTTAATGTGCAACAACGGGACGCTGCACCGATAATACACCTGTAATTTTCTCCATTATTCATAAATATTAACACCATCCTGATAATTTCATTCTGTGTATGTTCACGATGAATACATTCCGAAAATTCATTGTAATCAATTTTCGAATCTGTGTATTATCGATACTGGGAAAAATCGATTCTGTGTAATAAAGTCGATGATGACAGATGCACGATTAATTTTTTAACATGTTTACAGGTTGAATGCAAACATGTAGAGGTACCTATTCAACTGGAAAGAGTTTGAATAATTGATGATCGAGGTAAAGAACCTGTACTTCATACCTTTTCATTTAATTGTAAATTTTGATAGAAAATAATTTTTAAATATTTAATTAATTTTTTTAATTTCATTATGGATATGAAAATTTATTATTCGTCATATTCTATTTGAGACATTTTAATAAACATTATGGGGTGTTTCATAGTAGGATGATGATAATAATCAACGTTTTAATCTTCTTTAGTAACAGCTATTCTCTGGTAATGTTCCTTCGTCCGGTCGTGCATCTTCTTGAAACGTATTATTACGCTGCTTAGCAGTGCGATGTAATAAAGTACCGTTGTAATCAGAAGAAACATCGTCTGATTAAACAATTACGTAGTCATTCGTAAAATATTCAACGGAATACGTTGTAATCTTGAAAACAAAAGCAGAGCTGGATATTAAAGTCCTAAGAAAGAGAGATTTCTCCATTTTTCTCTTTGTAAAAATTCGCTAATTAATTTAATACTCTGATTGCATAAATAAGGCAGCTGGTGTATAAATTAATTTAAAAATTCTGACAAATATCCGCAATACTTGTTCTGTTTCACCCTTACCAAAATTGGAAATAAATTAGAAATATAGAACCTTAATAATTTTTGTAATTTAAATTAAAAGAAGCTTCGATTGTTCTGTTGTTGAAAAGAAAATTCCGTTTCTGTCTGAACGTTCCAGCGTTACGCTAACGCTTCTATAAAACCGGAAGTGTTGCAAGGCTTCGTGTGTATAAACAGCGTTTGCGAGCAAGCTCTAAGTTTAGATGCAGCACTCTTTGTGATGCAAGAGCAGAGCTTACGAAAGCAGCGATCATTGCTTGTTTTGTAAGGGACGTAAAAACCTTGTGACGCGAGTCAGAAACCTCCCCCATCGTGTTTTCTTGTCGATGGACTTTACTGAAGTCACCGACTGTGGAACGATTTACAACGTGGCCGGTTGTAAAAAGAAATGAAAATAAAATGAAAAGCAAAAAAAAAAAAAATAAGAAAAGAGATTGATCGTGAGTCGAAGCAGAAGCTGCCCAACGATCCGACGATCTTTCCATCGAACAACGGCCTTATTTCTCTCGTCACTCCGCTGCTTCCATTAATCTCCGTCATTCGTCTCCGACGGACACGGCAGAAGTGATAATGAACAGGTTATCGAGGATGAAATCCCTTCGATCCTACTACCCTTCTCTATTCTTCTCCTCGGTGACGATCGGAAGTTGCTAATGGTTTGTTAATGGCTGGTCAGCTTCGTGATTGCTAAAAACGACGGTGGCCGGGAACGATCGAAAGATTTATTGCATGTGAACGTTTAAATCGCAGCTACTTTAATGGAGCTTTTCTATATCCTAGACACCTACAAGCCCAGCCTCGGGATTATATTCTATAATAGGGGTTGGCAAACTTTTCTGTAATTGGGCCAGATATTAGATACTTTGGGACTTTGGAAATTTTTTAGGTAGTTACTTACAAAATAAAATAATATGGAATTCCTCTTTTTTAATAATATTCTATTTATTGAATTAAAATTAAAATAAACCATTGAACTACAAATTAATTTATTTTTAAATAGAATAGTATTTTTTTGGTTATTAAATTATAAAAATTGATAGATTATTAAGCGAAGCCTTTGATTATTTAAGTTAAAAATTTATTAATATATCTCATTGAGTTTGAAATATCTCGTAATATATTTTTTTTCTTTAATATTTCAAGAGTGTAAAAATTATTCCAGCTCATGAGCCATAATTTGCCAACCCCTGAATATATACATTTTTTTGAAACTTTGGAATTCGAATACCTTGTCTTCTCATCAGATAATCTAATGATATCATCTATTATGTACAACAATAATTTGTATTATCCTGGCAATTCTCAGCATGAACAAACAAGTACAAGTAACCGAGCCGTATTCAAAGGGAAAGAAACAAGAAGAGAGGAGAAATAAGGGAAGCAACGTGAATAATGATGCAAGTTTCAAACAAATATTAATTATCATTGAAGCACCGACGACCATGCTCGGTCACGTAGCCGGATCCGGTAAGTACCGGGAATAATGTGATTCTGTCAAAACAGGACGCCATCAATTATATTTCTTACGTCGAACAGCGGTCTAGTTTTCACCCTGTATGCACCGCGACTCTATCTGGACTATCGTAATGCTGTCATTTGAGAGCAAACGAAAATCGATGATGATGAGTATATACAACCCTCTATACGTACACAGATTCACTGAATTTTGATGAACTTCAATAATTGAATAATTAACTTCAACCGTGTGCTGTTATTAACATATTATATTAATAACTGGTAATCCCAGAGGCGTC